ATCCGCAATCGAGTCAATGCTTAGTGGCTTAGACCGGTAGAAGTCGGGTGATTTCACCACCGCGAGCTATAGGTGGTTACTGGATCTGTTTGGATGACTATGAAGTCATGGTATAACTAAGTGTTAAATGAAGTTGAGACCGGGCGGAGACTTGCGGGTTTTGGACTGTAGTGTTTCCGTCTCATGTCGATTAAGGACCGACCGTTGTTGGGCCTCGAGTCATGTTGAACGATGCCTTACATTTAGTCGGGCGGATAAAGTACCTTCCGACCGAAAGTCGGGAGATTTTTCGGGCCGAGTAGATTGCCCATGCCAAGACCGTGTGCGGGCAGTGTGGTAGGACACGGGCGGGATGATAAGACCAAAGTGCGCCTATCGGTCGGCCCCGGCACATGTGGTTCTGGCAAACTCGAGATACACGGAAAGTTGACTCGGTGATCAATATCTCACTTTAGCGGGTGAGTGAGATTTGTGTAAGGAATAAATCACCAGCTGGTTAGGAATCGATTCGAATCGCCATCGCTCCTGGATAGTGAGCACTTGACTTGAGTGACTTCATCGTAGTAAATGTTTATGGAACACTTGGACGCTTATAGTGAATATGACAAGATGGAAGTTGTTTAATGATCAGTGGTTATCATTAATCGCTTAATCACATGTTTACTCTAGTATAGGTGAAAATCTAGTCGACAGGTTAATAATAATTAACTTGACAATACTGCTTTTAGAAAGGTTCTTGAAATGCTAAAAATGCTTCTTTTGCAAATGAGTCAGCTACCCTACTATAATGCCTGCATAATCCTTGGTGTCATTTATTTTCGGTTATGTCGGGTAAGTCTGGCTGAGTACCTTCTCGTACTCAGGGTTTTATTCCCACTTGTTGCAGATGGGCAGATGTACTATGGCTATTGTATCAACTGCCTCTATCCTGCGATGGGTGATGCTTAGGACCATGGGCATGGTCATTCCTTACGTCTCATCTAATGCTTTTGTTGGAGATGATCATCAGCTGGCACTATATTTGAACTCCGTGTGAGTGTGTGTGGTTTTAAACAAATGACTTCCGCTACTTTTATTCGAACTTGTTTTGTAATAACTTTCATTTAAACTCTGATGTATCTGTTATGGAAACTTTTATGTAATATGTGATTGGTGACCGCTAAACTTATTACGATCATGGCTGGGACACGAGTTGGTTTGAAATCCTTCGTGATTTCACGGACTACCGGGTTATACGGGCTTAAGTTTGCTCAATCGTCTGCTCTGGTGGATGATTTTCTTACTTAATTTCGTATAATTGGTCGGTTCTGTTACAAAGTATTTCAACCGTCTTCTTTTGTATATTGCAAGTGTTGCATCTAGATATTTTAAAAGTAGATCTGGTGTTGCCCAGATCTAAAGACAGATGAAACACTTGAAACATGCTTCTGAAACACTTGCAAAAAAACACATGAAAAACTTGAAAACCATTGCAAACATACACAACATGCAAATAAAACATTTGGAACATATGTGTGAAAACATATGCAACATCCAGATAAACACGCTTGCAACATACGTCTGAAAACACAGATGAAACATTGGGATTGCAACATATGAAACATCCTAATCTACTTTTGCAACATTCATCTGAAACACCTGCAACATACCTCTGAAACATCTGAAACACTTGAAACATACGCTTGTAACATACGTTTTTTCAACCTTTTTCCGTACACGCAAAGTAGAGCGAGGGACGGCCAGTTCCGGTCGGCTGCGCATGCGCCTAACCTAGGCCCGGCCAGCGACGCCCCCTTTCCTGGTCATATGGCCACATGGGGCGTCTTGGTGCCTGCGCGGCTGCAGCTTGGTTGGTCCGGGCAGCCAGCGGCACTGGCGAGCGGCCAGACCTCGGCGGCAGCGAGGAGGCTCGCCGGCTCGTTGGAGGCGGCCACGGCAAGAGCATATGTGGTACAAGAGCATGCGCACCAATTGTTCAGAAAGAGTCAACATCTCTCCAGAATTATCCTTGGAGTGGCTGCAGACCAAACCACTGCACTTGTGCTGCTACTGCACTGCCAAAGCGTCATGGCCAGGTCTCACAATCAGCAGGTAGATTATCTTGCATTATTATTACATTAACCAAATACAACAGCGTGCTTCACATAAAACATAGGAAGAAAATTCAGAGCACTGGTGGTGAAGCAGACATGCATGATTCCTTATGGTTTTATTTATTCATCAATCAAATTAATCTCTACGACCGTTGTTTCTTGCAGAGGGGTAGAGAGGTGTGCCACAAAGAAAGGCACTTGTTGTTTACATAAGAATCTGCTCCATAGTATCTCATCGCAGAGCTCGTTGTATCGTTCTTTGTCATCGGCTTGGCGGTGTCAAACAAGAACGATGGGTTGCCAGTGAGGTGGTTGCGTCTTGCGTGAAAGATCGATAGTGTCAATGTCTCCATTGGCATAATCCTCTGGGACCTCTCCCGTTCATTCATATTTTAAAAGAGGGGATAGGGCCATACAGCCCCGGTATGGTGTCGAGCTGAATGGTTTGCAGCATCAGCAGGTCGCCGCAGGAGGAAGGGACAGGAGGGAGAGGTGACAATGCTAATATACTATGCATTCGTCTGGTTGCGTCTTATTTTTTTTGTTGTCAAAACAAGTTTATAAAACGTGTTTAAACATCAATAGAATGCTTTTAGAATTTTCTATTTTTTCTAGATATTTTTCCTATTTTTTAGAGATAAATCTAATTTGTAGAAACTTCTAGAGATATTTTTATTTTCATGAGATGTAAATATTTTATTTGGATTCGTTGTATCCGAATGTATCACCAGTAAATTTTTTTTTGGATTTTAGAAGCTTAAAAACATTTTCCGTGGTTTAATAACCTTATGAAGTATTTACCGGATGTTTTTAAGTAAAAAAGGATAAAACCGCCTTAAAATCACTTTAAAACGTATTGGGAAGTGATTTAGAGTTTTGAAAAAAAAATAGAAGGTAACATATCCAGTTTTAAGGTTTGAAAAGAAAAATCAAATTACATGGCAATTTAAGGAGCTAAAACTAAAATGGACCGTTGCCTCCAAGAGCGTGATCGGCTGGTACGGAAAAACACTGATCATACTAAAACACTGTTCATACTGATTTGTCAAGAGGAAAAGGCACTGTTTTAGTTAGAAAAACAAGCCGAACGCTTCTTGCTCAGCCGAACAAGCATGCTTACCTCGTCTGAATGGGCCAGGGCAGTCCAAATAGGCCTTTGAGCCCCCAAAAGAATTGAAGGCCTAAAACGGAAGAAAGGCCCATCTGGCGTCTCCCTGGCCGAGGCGAGCGTCGAACCCCGCCCGCACCTGGCTGGCCAGGAGAGACGGCGCCGCCCTCCAGTGCCCCTGCGGTGCACTCCTCCGGCGCCTCAGCGTCCCCACCATCTAGCGCCGTCAGCGATCGCCCTTCCCCGTGAGTCGAAAGGCCCATCTCGCGTCTCCCTGGCCGAGGCGAGCGTCGAACCCCGCCCGCACCTGGGCCGCCCAGGAGCGACGGCGCCGCCCTCCAGCGCCCCTGCCGTGCACTCCTCCGGCGCCTCCGCGTCCCCGCCCTCTAGCGCCGTCAGCAGTCGCCTGTCCCCGTGAGTTCGTTGTTTTGAGATTCAATTTACAGTTGTTTCGCTCGACGAGTTGCCTTGATTCCTCAACCCGTAGTTTAGTCTGAATAATTCACTTGGGCGAGTAATCTTCCCACAGCAGCGCCTCCCATCGCCCTCCTCCCCGCCCCAGGCCGTGGAGTAGCGCCCGTCCGGCGCCGCCATCCGCCTGGAGAAGCCCGCTGGCCGCTCGGAGCCGCCGACCGCCGGCCTGTGACCCCTGAGGGTAGTTCCTGCTTATCCACCCTCTCCTTTAAGAACATGCGTGAGATTAGCCCCTGTTCTCCTATTTGCTCTGTCTAGGCCATTTGCAACCGATGATCTCCTGGTATGCTTGTTTGTTACAGAGCATTAGCTATCTTGTGCCTATGCTTGCATTTGTCCTGAAAGATTGTTCCGTTCATAGTATACTTGGTGTGCCAGGTGCATGCACTGGCCTTAATATTTTTTTGTTAATACAGACTTATTGAACTATCATGTATGGAATTTCAGCAAGGCATACTAATATAGAAATGGCTAGTATTTAAGCAGTTGTTGTATGCAAATTACATATGTATGTACCAATTTCGAACTGCAATTTATCCTTTGGTCTATCTCTTGCTATTTTAGAGTCGAAGTATGTGTTCATGTCAATTAGTTGATTTGTGCAACCTTTTTATCCATATATTCATGGAAATAGGTGGCATATTTTATGTACATGAAAAACTCCGAGCTTAGAGTAGTGTGGGATGCAGTGTCACATAGAATTTTTATAGATATTTGCTTGGAAGAATTGACTGCTCATAATATTCAATGGAAATGTGACTTGAATATGAAGAGGACATGGGAACAGAATAGTAGTGTTTTCTTGATTAAAATGTAGCTCTACCAAGTATTGGATATATCATGTGTTTCCATATGACTTTGGTTTTGTTATCATGTGTGACCAAATTTCTATTTAAGAAACTAAAAAAATATTATTGCTATTACCTTTTGCTTTGATGTGGTAAACAGATGAACTATCGTCAGCCTCAGGGGCGGGCATACAAGTCATTCTGCGCTCAGGACAAACAATCAACTTGAAATAATCAAGATTGCCAAACACCCAGGGTCTCCAGTCATCAGCTTTTGCAGGCAGCAGCTTTCAGAAAATTCAGTTTCTCAGTTCAACGAGTCTCAGAATAGCCAAAACAAACAGGGCCTAGGTACGCCGCCCTTTCCCTTCCCTTCCCTTCCTGGTGTACTGAACCGAGCATCCCCAAGCTATATGCATTTGAATCTGTCCCAATCACCAGTATTTACATGTATGTATCCTACACACTAACTTTGATTTTTTGGCATTAATTATCGAGTGTACACCACTGTCCTTACTGCACAGTGTGTTTGCCGAAATGCCCCTGTGGCAGCTGCTTCTCCATGCACGGCAGCGGTGCTTGCCTCGGACACCTCAGCTCTCCGGACTCCTCTTTCTTTGCCGCGAACTCTCCATCCTCCCTTCCAAAGCCTTGGCTGCACCACCGCAGCGCCAGTCTCCATATGTTCAAGTCCGACTGCCCCAAAGCTCACCTCAGTCCAGTTCTGACCTTCTTGGGTCCGGCTTCCACATTGATGTGGTTGACTCCGACCTCTGGGCCCCGTCCTTCGGCTTCTCTTCAGAGGCCACAAGGGGCAATGAGTACCTGGATGACCTCCACCGGAATGACGACAGTGAAGTGCAAGACTTTAATGATGAGATCGATGACATGCGGCACCGCAAGAAGTTGTTCTACAAGCTGGACCGACAATCCAAGGAGTACGAGGAGAACAGCCTGCCCTTGCGCCGAAGCAAGAATAGGGACAAAAGCAATGCCAAGAACCCAAAGGAATGCAAGGTGGAGCCTGCCAAGTCTGTTTCTTCCAATGCTCCAAAGCCAACAAAGCGTGCAATTAGAGATGATGACATGGTTGAGGTGAAGCGGGAACGGATGCCAACGTTCAACCAGATGACTGATCCTTACCACCACCCTTTCTGCCTCGATATACATGTTACAAAGGGGTCAGTGCGTGCTTGCTTTGTGCACCGAGTGACGAGCAGGGTGGTTGCGGTTGCACACTCTATATCAAAGGATATGAAGTTTGATCTTGGTTCAAAGAAGGGTAAGGGTATGAAGGCATGTGCGGCAGTTGGTGCATTGCTTGCAAAGCGTGCGTTAGAGGATGATATTCACAACGCACTGTATACACCAAGGAAAGGGGATAGGATTGAAGGAAAAATTAAGGTTGTGTTGCATGCAATTATTGAGAATGGAGTTGATGTGAAGGTGAAACTGAAGCAAAGAAAGCCGATAAAGGTATTCCATAGTATGTACTGTTGCATTTATTTTATGATGCTGAGCTTCAGACTTTAAGAATTTGTTATGAGTTTATAATCATTTTCCTTCAGGCACTACATATCAAGTATGGCATATTCAGTACTTCTACTTCATCAAAGTATTAACTGATTGATGCTCAAATGCATTAACTCATACACAGCTGATATTCAGGCGAGCTCAGAACTAAATCTTGAAAATGCAAAAGTGTCAATAAGTAGTTACTTAGTGAAAAACTAAATACAAGTTCTTTTGGAATCACATTGAAACAGGTGTTTTTGTATGTGTACATATATAGCTTATTGGTCTGTGCATGTGCATCCCTTTTCTGACTTCCTTTAAGAAAAAAAATTCAGCTTGCTAAAGTAATAGAAGGACAAAGGTTAGATGTGTACAATCTTTTCTGAGACTAGTAACAATGCATTAATCAAAATTTATCGTCAAAACGTTCAAAGAAAGTTGAACTTTCAAAATTCTGAAAAGAAGTAAAGATGAACAAAACTGGTTTTCTATGTTCCACTCAATCATGAAATTATGAACATACATCTGTGGCTTTCAAAATCTTTGACCTCCTTGACCTGTGTTTATTGCTGCAAAACTTCCATTAGAGAGGTTTTCAGCATCTACATAACTCTTGTGCACCTGTGGAGAAGTCCTGAAGCGTTTGTGGCCAGTCCTTTTTGCTGCAGAACCAAAGATATTCACTTCACTTGTGCTATAAACTTACTTGCTGGCAATGATGGCTGTCATTTGGTTGAATGCTTACTATAGAAAATACTCCACCATATAGAGATAGAGAAGCAAAATGTTCAGTGGAAGAAGTTTTCTTTATCCAACATTGTACTGCTGAAATCATTGGTTTTCGGTACATTACCCTGCTCAACGTGCTCACTAGTTACAGCTTTAATGAGACACAAAAAATTCAATCTGCCCTCTGCAATTCGAGTCCCGACTATCAGAGTTGTAATTTCTGTATGGCATCGCCGCCTTCAAGAACTAACAATGCTTGGCCTCACTATTTCTTTTACCTTCATTTGCAGAATACATTGGCGTGCAGCACTGCAGCATGATATGTCCCCTGGCAGGTCAACTATTGTTCAGCACAATTCCTGAGTAGCATTGAGCCCGATGCTTCAGAACCCGTCTAATTTCATCTGCATAACTGATAGAGAAGAGGCACAAGCAGCTGAAGGAAATGTGGCAATCCTCCCATGTGGTCCTAGCGTAATTGTTTCATGCGCTCGTGTATCTCACATTCTCACTCGTGGAGCCTACTACACACATAGTCACAGCTTTAGCTAATGTCTGTATTAGTAGCTAGGGTTTAGGCATGTGATGGCCATTTGTGCCCAGTCGGGAGTCCGTTGCTGCTGGTTCAAGTTCCAGACTTCCAGGATGTATTTTAGATCCCTGTATTTGATTTTCACAATGACACAAGTGACAACACAGTCACCCACGGCTAGCATTTGTGCCAGAGCAATGCTTTGTACAGTCCCGGCTTATGTATTTGAGTATTTATGTATCGTTGTCCCCTGAAAAATATTGTGATCAACATCTGATCCTTTATGATAAGAGTGTATATGAAAACTAAGCATGTATTGGGTTTGGAGATGTTCGGTATAGGATGGTTATGTTCTTGATTTATGGGATGATGAGATGGTCTCATCTGTGTTTGGTTGAGACTGATAGGTCTATCCCTGTTTTCCATTTGGTTGGGGGTGATTAAGCTAAACGTGATGGATGGAGTATTCACACGTCAGCCACTGTTAGCCGTGGGGCCCACTTATCCTTTCATTCATCTCTCTTCTTCGTCTCAATTCTTCCGGCGTCGCTCCACCAAGCTGCCGAAGGCCTTGGTCGACACGCCTCCCCACCATCTGCCCGTATGGCCTGAACGCGTTAGAGTGGCTTTGCCTCTGCCGCTCAGCTTGCCATTGCCTTGCCTCAGCGCCGCTCGACCTCCGTCGCTTGTGCTTGCCGCCTGACCTTTACCACCTCGACTCCGTCACGGCCACCTATTCTGCATCACCATTGCTTGGCGCCCACAAAGTGGACGGGGGCAAACGGCCCGTGACGACAATAATTGAGACGCCCCCGTCCGTCCCTTCGTTCCCTTGAAATGTAGTGAACCCACATTTTGGAGGTATATTTCCCTAAGCGATGACTATGTCCTCTATTGTCTCCAAACCAAACGTCTGTGGAAGAGGAACCAAGCTAGCAATCCCACTTGGACCTTGCAACCAAAAATATGCTAATAGTAGCAACAGTGTCAAGTTTTGATCCTCCTGTATCATTTGTATATCTCTTTTGGCACGATGTGAGGTATTTGGTTTGGAGAACGAGGTAGTTCACCATCTTTTCACTCCTAGCTTGGAACATCTCAAACAATTTGGTAAACTACTCCTAATCTTAAATTGTTGGCACAACGGAAAAACATTTCTCCAACAACTTACTGTCCTAACTCCCAATCTTTCCACGCTTGGAAAAACAGAGACATCCAAGTGCAAAGATACATGGACAACTTGATTGAATCTCCGACCACTATTTCTAGATCTGAGCATGAAATGGAGTTTCCGATTGTAGGCCACTATTTTCAAATATGATAATATTGAGAAATATATGTATGTGATCCAGGGTACCAGGGATGGCTGGCAACGAGATCCGAGAATACTGAGACTTTGTTTTGTAGGTTTTGGCTGAGTTAAGATACCTGGGCAACAGGGGATGGCTGGCAACATGATCTACTAAAAAGTAGAGCGTGAGATTTCCTTTTGTAGGTTCTGGCTGTGAATTAGGGTACTAGGATGGACAGTCGGTCAGTCGACGCTCGGGAGGTTTGCTAGAATTAGATCTCTAGATATTATTTTCAAATATGAGAATACTGAGAGGTAAAACACACAATTGAGATTTCATTTTTGAGATTCTGGATGTGAGTTAGGGTCCGGGGATGGTCGGGTATATTGCGGCTGGCAGCAAAACAATGAGAAAAAAAAAATTAGATGGACCTGCTCTTTTGTTTTTAGAACAAGAAATTTATTGGAAACTAGTTGTGATGTGTTGTTTTTCCTTTTTAATATTTACATAAATAATGTTTGAAAACCAGATCTTTTGGGCTTTTGTTTTTGGTACCATTGGAAACGCTCCAGGCCCTGTTCGTTTGTCTTATAATCCGTACTTTTCAGCTTATTTTTTAGCCGGAACATTATTTTTTTCTCACAACAAATCAGTCAGAACAGTGTTTCGGCTTGTTTTTTCAGCGAAGCGAACGAGACCCTTAGCAGTGCTGTGCATGCTCTTCATATATCCCAAACCTTCTGCAGTTCTCCTGTTTCTTTTATATACTCAGATTTGGATTTATTTGCCCATTAACAATTAGCTAGCTAATAGCTCAAACTGGTTATTAGCTATAATTAACCGGTTTGACCCAACTAGTGAGGTAACTGTTAGTTGGGTATTACAGCATCACCGAGAAACTCTCCATATCCTTCCTAAATATTAGGAATAGAGATTTTGGTAAAAAATTACCCTTTAACAACTTTAAATGGTCATCCAAATATAGCCATCTTCTATTCCGAATTTTTCGCTGTCCAAAAATAGAAGACAAGAATGGCTCTCTAAAGTACGCATGAGATATAGAAAATTGTTGAAGAGTGAAAAGATATAGAAAGCGATTTTTATGTAAATGACTCTCCAAATGATGATTTAGAAAGTAAGATTTAGAGAGACTCTTGGAGATGCTCTTAGCATGTAAAGGAGTTTATTATTAGCAGGGTCTTTGCGGTTGTTACGTGCTAATTAATATGTTGCTAATATGTGGTTAGCAGCTATGAGTTAGTTTGACTATTACAAGGTCGGTTTGGATCCATTAATAATATTGATTTTAGCTGTTAAATTAGCACTAGTGGATCTAAATAAACCTTTAATCCTCCATGCTGCTTTCTAGTTGAGCCAAACTAACCTCGCTTTATTATTAACGGGCTTGCTAGCGCCCGGACGTCCGCGCCTGTGAACCGTTTCTCGTGCCGTTTCGCACACCCACGCAGGGCCTGCACTGCCCTGAACATCACCAGCATCGAGAAGAAGGGGAGGGGGCAGCGGACGCCCAACCGGCACCGGGAGGAGGAGGAGACACCGTGGCGAGGAGGCAGAAAGCGAGGAGGGAGATGCAACATCCGATCTACTTTTGAAACATTAAGATGCAATACTTACAACATACGTCTGAAGACAGATGAAACACTTGAAGCATGCATCTGAAAACACTTTCAAAAACAACACGGAGCCTGTGTCGCCCCGAACGTCACCAGCATCGACAAGAAGGGGAGGGGCAGCAGATACCCATTAACCGACGTCAGGATGAGGAGACACCAAGGCGACGCAGCAGGAAGCGAGAAGGGAGATGCAACGCCCGATCTACTTTTGAAACATCTAGATGCAACACTTGCAACATATGTCTGAAGGCAGATGAAACACTTGAAACATGCATATGAAAACACTTGCAAAAACACCTAAAAACACTTAAAACCCATTGTAAAACATACGCAGCATCCGGATAAAACACTTGCAACATATGTGTAAAACATATGCAACATTCAAATAAACATACTTGCAACATACGTCTGGAAAAACAGATAAAACATTGAGAACAAACGCTTGCAAAATACGTGTACAACCATTGCAACATATGTAACATCCCGATCTACTTTTGCAACATCTGCGTGAAACACTTGCAACATACCTCTGAAACACTAGAAACATATGCTTGCAACATGCGGTTTCAGTGCAACATCTCTGCGTTGCTTGGGAGAATAGAGGCTCGTCGTGTATGGAGTTCACCGATGGCCAGTGGTGGAGCCAAGGGGGGGCTGGCAGGGGCCATGCCCCCCCCTCAATATTTCACAACAAAAAAATTTAGTAGTAGGACTTAATATTTTTTTATTTATATTAAAAGGGAGATTATATAAAATTCTTGTCATATATACCTATTAATATCTTCTAGATAATATAATCATACAAAATATAACTAGATAATAAAATTATCGCAATGAAAAAGACTGAGTCGGTACTCAAGATTTACAAAGTCACCCTAGACGTCTTGCTGTTAACGAGCATGTCACTTACCACTGGAAAAATAGCACCTTAGATCATATGATACATATAAGAAATTACGAGCACCCGTTCAAGTCAATGAATTAATTCCGACAGTCATCACAAGGAACCTAACGAGTTGAATTGCACTTAGTTTTTACATGGCTCTTTTGGCTGGCCTCCCCTAAGTATAATTTCTGGCTCCGCCATTGCCGGTGGCGTGAAGCTTGCCACTCCGTTGGAGAAGGCCACGGTAGGCTGGCCGTCGCGAGCTGCGCGCGGGCAAGTTTCGCTCTAGCCACGGTGAGCTGGGTAGGTGGAGCGTGAGATGTGCGCGAGCGGGCTCTGCTCAGGCGCTCAGGCTGTGGTGAGCTGCACGCGGGCGAGCTCCGCCTTGACTGTGGCGAGCCGGGTAGCCTCTGCCCCGGTCGAGACGAGCGTGGGTGACCGCGGTGAGCACCATGGGCGGAGGCTGCCCTGGCCAGCCGCCGCTGTGAGCTGCTCGGGTGGAGCGGTGCGCGGCCGAGCTCTGGTGCCATTTTTTTTTAAGAAACTATAGTGACCAGCGGATAGGATGGGCTTATTCGGGCTGCCGGCCCACCAACCGAAGCCTCCGCCCGGTTCCAAGAATTACCGTAGTATTAACTATACACCATATATAGCTGCATGCACAGGCGTGGCGAAGATCATCAACTAACCATACATAACAGGGTCCAGACGGACGCACGCAGGGACGACCACACGCAGACAAACAGATTCAACCAATAACCAAACCATTCAATAAACATAGGCGGAGCGCGTGCTATATAAGTCCAGTCGCGCGAGGAGGGCTAGCCTGCCCTCGATCTCCTGTCCTCTCGCGCTGCCGCCGCCCTCTCAAGTCCAAGGGTGCTCCACTCCTCGTCGGCCGTCGGGCGGCCCTAGTCAAAGGTAGAAGAACGAACTGTGATTCACTGAATCTCACGCATGCACGCACGAATTCATTCATCTGAATCTGATTACATATATATTGTACTGATTCCGATCGATCTCCTGTATGTTTGGCGTTGAACATTTACAAGGGTTCGCGCGTTCGCCGGTTGCGCTAGCTGCTTAACGCGAGCGCGACGACGATGGAGCACCGCGCGGCGCCGCCGGACGACGTGATCGTCCAGGTGAACGCCGCCGCCGTTGCGGCCCTGGACGAAAGGATCTCGACGGGTCAGATCACCGAGGAGGACGTCGGCATCGTCGACGACGGCAAGCAGATCGGCGGCGGCGGCGGCCGCACACGCCGGACCTTCAGCCAGTCGTACAAGATGAGGCACCGCAACCCTCCCTCTGGTACGAACACGATACATACGATCCATCATCCATGCATTCAGATCGGTCCAACCAAAACTGTTTCTTGACATCGTACGTGTAACGCCGCCGCCTGCAGGAGTTCACGCGGTGGCAGTTGGCGCTGCTGGGGTACCAGTCGCTGGGCGTGGTGTACGGCGACATCGGGACGTCGCCGCTGTACACCTTCTCGTCCTTCACCCTGCCGGACCCCGGCGCCGACGACGTCCTCGGCATCCTCAGCTTCATCCTCTGGACGCTCACCCTCGTCAGCCTCGTCAAGTACGTCTTCATCGTGCTCCACGCTGATGACCATGGAGAAGGTACACTGTACGTACTGTTCTTCTAATGATGATCTTGCAAAGGTTGGTGCACTGCTTAAAATGTGGCCAAATTAATTAAATCCAACAAACTGCCATAGATTTAGGTGGCCGAATCTGTAGCGTCCAGTTGTGTGACGCGCTTTTTTTTTTTGGTATTAACAGCAAAGAACCGAAATAATGGGCAAAGTAGAAGAGTCCAGTTGACGAGCTTATATTATTTTTTTTTCTAACAGCAAAGAACCGAAATAACGGGCAAAGTAGAATTTATTTTTTAAGTTGTTGACGAGAAGGAAAAAATTGCAGAGATGTAAAGAACTCGCAGCCTCACTTCCCTACAGTACGTCATGTTGCATCTGCAGTGCCACAGTACATCATGTTGCATATGCAGTGCTGAGATAGGTTCTGAACAAAATGACGCATTAAGGCACTCTTGCGTATATAAAAAAAAAAGAAAAAAAAACTCTATCTTCAGGAATTAAACCAATTGCTGCATCAGGGAGAGTATACTCGTAATTTCCGATCAGAATTTGGTTCTAGTACAAATTCTGATAATGTTCCGATAACCTGTAAAGATCAATCGTTAGGTTCCCAGCATGCCTCCCTCTGCTTGCTCTCGTGCTTACATTGTATTGTACGTGCAGGTGGCACCTTTGCCCTGTACTCGCTCTTGCGCCAGCACGTCAACTTCAGCGGCAAGTCGATGCCGGTGCCGGCTGGCATCAGATGCCAACCTCAAGTTCCACAGCAAAAAGAGCAGGCTGCAACCAAGGATGCTCAAGTTCCTGGAAGGCAGCCCCATTGCGCAGGCAGTCATTACCTACCTTGTGCTGGTTGGAACTTGCATGGTGATGGGGGACGGCGCCCTCACTCCATCCATCTCAGGTATATATACTTTACATCATCAGTTCATCACTGTTTCTATTTTAAGATACATGGGACAATGTTTTCTCATTTAAAGACAAATAAAGTGATAGTTAATTACTTCATAATCCAAGAATAGTCTTTGGTCTTTCAAAAAAAAAAGAATAGTCTTTATCAGACAACCATCTGTATGACGCCTGTAGCAGAATCAGCTGACATCAAGCATTGCTGCAATAACTTGAAACATGTATAAAGGATGTAAATTCCACTGAATCATAAAAAGCATTTTGATTTGTCATCCCAATTCCTAGCGCAGAGTTAAAAGTAATAGGGTCCAATTCTCTTTTCGATTTCCTGATGCTGTTCTCCAAAATTATCCAGTCCTGTCAGCTGTTCAAGGAATCCAGTCAAGATCCTCTAGCATTAAACAAGGTAATACTGCCTACCATCTCTGATCATGATATTTTGTTTAGAGCCATTTTATTGTTGGAATGAAAAACAATGAGTAATATTTTATCTTTCTTGTTTCAGGGCACGTTGTCCTCCTATGTGTGATTATCCTGGTCATCCTTTTCCTTTTCCAACAATATGGCACAAGCAAAGTTGGCTTCACTTTTTCTCCCATTATGCTCGTGTGGTTTGCGTTGATTGCATCCATTGGACTATACAATATTATCAAGTATTATCCACCGGTTCTGAAAGCCATATCCCCACATTACATATATCTTTTCTTCGCGAGGAACAAAAGGGCTGGCTGGGAGCAATTTGGAACAGTTGTTTTGTGCATAACAGGTAAGAAATGTAGCCTAACTATGATACTTTTTTTTGTTTCAACAAGAAACATGCAATATAATCATAGAAAGCTATTGTTCATGTGATACAACAAGAAACAAGCAACATTTGATTATTTTGTAATCAAGTACTAGCCTGTTAATGAATTCAGAACTAAATAATTGTGGTTGCCATCAGGTGCTGAAGCTATGTTTGCTGACTTGGGTCATTTCAACAAGAAATCAATCCAGGTAATTAATATGATAATTTTCCTATCCTATTATATAAATAAGAAACCGTTAGTTAATTCCCTTTCCTTTGTCCTTGCAGATGGCATACTCATGCCTAGTTTATCCAGCACTGATACTTGCATATGCTGGCCAGGCAGCATTTTTTATCAAGAACCCATCTAAGCTCAGCACAACATTTTATAGTAGCGTCCCAGAGCCACTGTTTTGGCCAATGTTTATCGTAGCTACTTTGGCTGCCATCGTTGCAAGCCAGGCATTGATATCTGCCAGTTTCTCCATCATCAAACAATCAATTGCTTTAGGTTGTTTTCCTAGAGTTACCATGAAGCACACCTCAAAGAAATATGAAGGCCGAGTGTACTCTCCAGAGATCAACTACTTCCTGATGATTGCTTGTATATTGATTACTGTTGATTTTAAGGGTGGACCAGAGATTGGGCAAGCCTATGGTAAGCAATCTAGCACATACTTATATTAGTTTTGTTTGTTACTTTTCCTCATCATTTTTGTGGTACGTACATGGGCTTTAAAGCACAGTTTTTACAGTATTGCATAAATTTGAATAGTACTTTATAGAAACATCATGCTTAGCTTGATGCAGTATTATAAACATTAGAGCTCAAGTAAATAATGTACACATTCTTTTGGTCTACAGGTGTTGCAGTGATATGGGTTATGCTTATTACAACGCATCTGATCACAGTGGTCATGGTAATAATATGGCAAACTCATTCTGCAATAGCTGGGTCATTTTATATATTATCTACACTGCCATTGAAGGTCTTATGACGATATCACTCCTATATAAGATTGCACAAGGCGGCTGGGTTCCATTTGCAATAACTGCATTTTTCCTTATAATTACACTTTCTTGGACCTATGGCCGAAGCAAGAAAAATGAATATGAAGTGAGTAACTTGATGGATAGGCAGGAATTCATTAAAACAGTTAATATGAGCAACAGAGTACCTGGAATATGCATCTTTTGCACAGACTTGATGAATGGCATCCCACCAATTGTGCGCCATTACATTCAGCACATGGGTTGTCTCCGCGAACTGATGGTGTTTGTCACTGTGAGGCATCTACCTGTGACATCAGTCCTGCCCGAAGAGCGCTTCCTCTTCGACAGACTAGAGCCTTTTGGTGTTTACAGGTGCATAGTCCAATATGGTTATATGGACACCCAAAATATGGAGGATGATGAGTATGTTCTATCAATCATTGCATCCCTCAAGGAAATAGCTCAAAGTGATGATGAGACCATGATGATGGATTCAGCTTTAGCAAATGGAACGACCTTTGTACTTGGAAGGGTTATTTTAAAAATGAGCTCCAAGCAAAACTGTTTCAAGCGCTTTGTTATTAGCAACCTTTACAGGTTCTTGCAGAAGAACTTCAGGTCCAACATTTCCAGTCTAAAGATAGCTCCTAGTAAAACCTTGCAGATTGGAATGCAATATGAGATTTGAGTAGAGGAACCTTACAAGATGGACATGTGATTTTAGAACATTCAGATGTGTGGAGTTTAGATGTTTCTTATTTTTAATTGGCAATACCAGTAAACTATTTGTTTAGGTTAGCCTCTCCATACAAAGCTACTATGGTCAAAACTTTGGAACTATTTATTTGAGTGAGGTTTTTGTTTCACAGTTGTACTATATATATTTGTTTGAAGCTTGGTGAAATTATTTTTCTTTAAGCCCAATCCAGAATGTACGAATGTGAGGCCTTGATCAGACAGCCAATGATTTTTTTTTCTTGACACTGCAACAAAATTGTTTTGTTCTAAACCATATTTTTGTAAAAAAAAGGGCGTACCAGTGCAGAGAGCTCCCGCTCTGTGCGGGGTCTGAGGAAGGGTGTCAGTGGCAAGCCTTACCCTCGCTTGTGCAATGCGAGGAGACCGCGACTCAAACCCGGGACCTTCCGGTCACAAGTGGTAAGACTCTACCGCTTGCACCCGGGCCGCCCTTCCTAAACCATATTTTTGTATCATGCAAAATATCAGTAATAGACATCCTGTACATAGTAGCTTGTTGTGACTTTATTTAATTTTTTTTGGCTTTCTATCAGCATGGAGAGTGTTTTCCTTGTTTAGCTAAACATAGATCAAATTATTTGAAACACTGGATCAGGACAAGAAAACGTATCTCAAGGTTAACACAAGTAATAATGACAAGATAAGTTAAAGTTGGTTTGGTAACACCTTAAGATCGCTCGCCTGTTTAGTTTTATCCCACAACACTGCATCAGTATACTTTGGTACCGCTGGAAAATCAAACGCATTAATTTTTATACCACTGAACTGCATTGGTACGTTTTTTTCTACAAATACTTCGAACAGACTTGATCATTAGCTGAGTTTTTCTTTATAAAAAATCTATGGAGCAAAAAAAACATTTGGTAGACTCATGCACTTAAATGGCAGTTTTAGGTAATTCATTCTGATTGGTGGTTTGAAAGGTTAGAAAATAAAGGAGTATCTTTAAGGTTACCAAACTATGCATCTCTGGAGAAAAAAATACATTAAAACAATAGTGGAAAGCAGAACTGATGAAATATTGTTGGGAATCAACTATACAAGAAGCAGTGCTTCCTCCATGGAGTCTTTATCTGACTGCTTTATACAACCATATGTAACTTAGCTACAATAAACTAAACCTTAAACGGAAATTTAGAGGGAGGAGAATATTGGAACACCAGGTATGGTGGCACCTGAATCTACAACGAAGATGTTGCCAGTCACATATGACGATGCTTCATGGATCAGGAAACGGACCAGCGACGTCAACGCGGGATCAGTAGCGCCATGCTCCTTAAGCGGCACTATCTTTGAAGCAACGGTTCTCAACCACCTCTTTTGAAACAGAGGAGCGGTTATCTCTGATTTGAAAAGCCCAGGCGCAATTGAGTTCACTCTGATGCCATACGCGCCCAATTCCAAAGCCATAATCTGCAAAAAAAAAAAAAACATAATCAGATTAGTTTATCACGAACACAAGGCGCAGAACAAACGTTTGATGAGGAATAGCAGTACTACCTTGGTGGCATAATGCACAGCAGCCTTTGAGGATGCATATCCAGTGGAGCCAGGCAGATGCCCTCGGTTAAGGCCAGCAATAGAGGTGATGTTCACCACTGAACCATTTAGCTTGGCATCACGCATGCGTCGACAGACATGTTTGGCCACGAGCCATGATCCGGTTAGGTTCGTCTTGATGATTCTGTCCCACTCATCCTCAGGCCAATCTAATGGAGAATGCACTGCACCTGAGGTATAATAAACAACAAACACAGATATTACCATACACTCGAGCCAATATGTTCTTGGTCCGCTAACGAATTGGGATTACAAATCTGAAGTTAGTTTGGTTTGGTGCGTATTTTCATTTGGCATTTAGATCCCTAAAATGAACATATCTGAGCTCCAATTTGGTGGATACTCGTACCTCGGATGCCAGCGTTGTTGATCAAGGCGTCGATGCGGCCAAAGGCGTCCCAGGTCCTCTGCACCGCCGCCTCCAGGACCGAGCCACCGGCGGCGACGTCGAGCTCCACGGCCACCGCGCGGGGGGCTTCGGCGGCAGCGGAGGCGTTGATCTCATCGCAGAGCGAGCGGAGCCGGTCGGCGCGGCGGGCGGCGGCGACGACGCGGCAGCCGGCACGCGCCAGGTCGAGGCAGAAGTCGCGGCCGATGCCGGAGGAGGCGCCCGTCACCAGCACCACCTGCCCCTCCAGCCTGCTCCACGGAGGCGGCGGCGGCGACAGCCCAGCCGACGGCATCGCTGGTGCGCTCTCGGGGGAGTAAGAAGGGGATTTCAGAGCCACCTGCTAGTGCTATAGCTAGTGAATTCAGTGACCACGTCTCTTAAATTATTTGGTGACAACTAACAAATTTCAATTTCTTTTTTGATTTAAGTATAAAGCGTATTCTCGATTGAAATGGAGAGATTGGAATGGACTTTGTTTTTTTTATGGACAAAAGCTAGTTGGTGAAAAATCGTTTACTTTTTTTTTTCTAATGCTAATTTCGGTGCATGAAAATGATTGATTCTGTGAAGTATAATGCTTATTAGTATTGCGGAGTGTAGTAGCGTCCGCTAAAATGGAAACTAACTCATTTGACCCATTAACATTTATGTTTATCTAGTTTTGAAGTGTCCAATGCAACTCCGGTTCCACGTTAATAGTAGTACCTCATACTTTTCATCTTTGAAAATTGAATCTTCCATTTTTTTTCGGTGGTTTTTAATTTAAGTAACATGGCAGCGATTCTCATGTAAGTTGGTGGTTTTTGCCCTGTTCATAAAGATGTAATTGAACATTAGCCTCAAAACCATACTGTATGCAGGGAATTTAGGATGTGTAAGATCAGAAATCAATATTTTAAATATCTGACTAAGTCAGTAAGCGTGTGTTTGTATCAGAGAAAAAATGGAATATGACAGTCATGTTCATGTTTTATTAGATAGGATTGTTCCAGTCGTGTTTCATTGAAGGGAACAAAATAATCTATATTTTGTGTTTGGTTGAGAGAATTGAGTCAAGTGAATGGAGGGAGTTTTTAACACCATCATCCACAAAATGCCCCCCCCCCCACCACTAAGTAGTCTCATGCGCATGTCCTAAGCCTTTTAGTGCGAGGATGTTGGTGCTAGGCGAGGACACCACTAGGCCTCCCGCGATGCTCGCAAGCCGATGCCAAATTTGCCCATGACACCTAAAGCCACCCTTGTCCATGACGGCCTGACATTGAATCCGTCCATAATGACTGAAGCCATGTCATCCAGAGCCGTCCAACGTCTGATCCGCCCGAAGCTACGTCGTTCAAAGCCCACAACCTCTCAACCACCACCACTACTATAGAATGAAACTTCGCAGGAGGCCAAAACTCATTTACCAAGGCGGGCAACACGTCCACCTGCCTCGAAAGGTCTGTGTTAATCAAAATCAACGCAGGCTTGACGTTGCACCCACCTGCGTTAATCAAAATAATAGAGGCGGTAATTTCACGAATTAAACAAAAGCACAGCAAGCCCAGTGGCCCACCGAGGCCGTTGCCGAGGTCCACCGAGCCCGCTGCCACCGCGTCCACGCCGTCGCGCAGTGAGCCTGCCGCCACCGGAGGGCCTTGCTCCACGCGCCACCGGAGTAAGGGCTGTGCAGATCCGCCGCGCCCTTGCCCGCAACCGCCGTTGAAGGAGTTGCCACACGTAGATCCGTAGATAGGGGAGCCGACGGAGGAGTGGCCGCGTAGATCCGCCACCGCCGCTAGAGGGTGCCCTTGCCTCGCGCGCAAGCGGTGATGGAGGTGCTCCGTCGAATCCATGCTCGGTGGTGGGGAAGAAGGGGAAGGGGATCTCGGATTCAGCGGTGGTGGAGGTGGTACGGCTCGACGACGGTGGGGAAGGATGGATTTGTCGGTGGTGGAGGTGCTCTGGCTCGGCGGCGGCGGGGAAGGCCGGATCCACGCTTGGTGGTGAGGAAGGAGGGGGAAGGGGCGTCGGATTTGCTTGGTGCGGCGCCATCGTCGCCGAGGAGGCACAGCCCCGCTACCGAGCTCGCGCCGAGTTAGAGAGAGAGAGAGAGGAGAGAAGCAGAAGAAGTAGACGGGGTGCGGCGGCTGGGATTGAGAGAAGTGGAGAGGTGGAGAGAGGGGGTTGAGATTTTATATTTAGGGTTTGGAGCAGGCTGCTGAGTGGGCCTCAAGCCTTTTAACCGAGACGGGCCTCATAAGAGGCCTGCCTCCGAAAATAGATTCATTTTTGGAGGCGGGCCTCTTCCGTAAATTGATTTTAGGAGTTGGGTATTTTTTTACTGTCTCCGTAAATTGATTTTGCGAGACGGTTAATTGTGCCATATATGAAAACGTCTACCTCCGAAAATCTCAGGAATTTTACAAGACGGATGAATTTTGTGACCGCCTTCGTTAATGTTTTGGCAGTGTCTCGCAAAATCATTTTTATAGTAGTGCACCTCACGTCGAAACGGTAGAGGACGATGTATACTAGGGACAACCTTGCCCTCTCGATTTGGAGAGATGGGGTCACTCAAATCTATGAAGAATATTTTCTTTAGGGATATATTTGTTCTAATGAAAATTTTCTATTGTTTCCTCTCTAGAGGTGCTAAATCATAGCCATCAATTTAAGGGTTTCCTTTCATACAATGAACATCATCCGTTTGATGTAAATTCAACTGTCACCGATCATCTTCAACACGGGATGGTTGTTATTTCTATCCACCGCCGATCAGCATCTGTCCTTGTCGGTCCGTTGTCTGTCGCATCTAGCACTATCCCTGCCAGGATAACCCGGTGTCATTGGACCATCTCCATGACTTCTTGTCTGTCGCATCTAGCACTATCCCTGCCAGGATAACCCGGTGTCATTGGACCATCTCCATGACTTCCTCGCCCTTCCATAGTCCAATTGTCGTCCTCCTCACTCGTGCCCAGCGACAGGCTCACGCTGCTCCACCCTGCGTGCCACTTCTCCCGCTTGGCGAGCGTGCCTCTCCAAAACTCTTTGTATATACACATAGAGCACAACCAACCTAAAAACCCACCCTCGAAACTCCTTACGGGCGTGTGGCCATCAAAATCAAGATTGGTTTCAGATGCTGCAGTATAGGAGATGTGTTTTTTTAACTAGCAAATATGCACGTGCGACACGCACGTGTTTACGAAAAACATTTCAAATGCAATGGCAATATTAATTGAATTCTCGATATATTAGTTCATATATATTTTGGCTCGTATGGGCGTCAGAGTCCTTTTTGGCTCGTATGGACGTCAGAGTCTTACATCTCACTTGTGTTCAGATTTTTATTATTTTCCTTTTTTTTTGTGGTCTAGGAGAAATCTGGGTTGAGGAGGAGTCTTACATCTTACATGTAAGATCACTAATGCCGGATGGCTCATATAGCACGACGTCTAGATTGAACGGTTATTATAGAGGGAGAACCCTTAAAAAAAAACTCACTCTTTTACAGTGTGATGAGATGAGATGACAAATCTTATATACAAGAGAAAAAGCCCGACAAAATGACAATCTGATCCGTTTTTAGAAATCAAATTTTGCTTTGACTACGTTTCAAAGGAGGATATTTTTGTTTGGCTGCCACAGTTCCCGTACGAGTCCATACCAATTTTCTAGGTGTCAATCGAAAGCCCAGTCCAAAATCCGAAAGCGAAAAATATGACCTGCTTGAAGCCGTAAAGGCGCAAACCCTCGCGGCCTCGCCTGACCGGATCCCCATCCGATTCCAGCCTCCCAGAACCCCTCCAAACCGAGGTTGAAACCGCGCTACAAGCTACATGGATTGGACGCCTGGCTCTGGAGATCCCAACGCTTGCCGGATTTGAGATCTGGTGGGTTTGGTGGGCGCCCGGATCCGGAGGAGACGCCGGCAGTTTGCGAGGTTTTGTTGGCTCCCTTGCGTCGCGGAAGGCCATGGAGTACCGCGCCTTCGACAGCAGCGGTGAGTCGCTTCTAGCTGATCCCTATGTTGTTTGCTTTAATGCTGGCAAATGCAAATGCGAGGAAGCCCTGGTCTTGCGTGCGGTATTGATGGAAGCAGCATTAGGCTGCTGCCGGCGATTGTCTTAGGATGGGTACAGATGTGTGCTCAGTAGCGTGGTGGTGCGATTCTGTTTATAATTTTTTTTGTTATCAGTAGTCGCATGGAACATGTGTGATTGGTATCTTTCAGGTTTGACTCCATTGTACATTATCGTTAATATGAACTGTGGCGATGGGATAGTGAAGGGAATAGCGCGGGCAGTCTGGTTGATGCTTTCTGAATACTGATAGTGGAAGATGGACCACATATTTAGATTACTGGGAGTAGACAGGGTTTTATTTATTGTTTCTCCTATAATAGTTCCATGTAAATGTGATCTAATTATCATAGAATTCACAAAAAGTAGCATAGCTGCATGAAGAATTGGATTGAATAACATGCCTTTTGTAGTATGACTGAGTGTTTTTTTTTTTTTGAACTGAACCGGGAGAGCTGCCTTTTATATTACAAAGGGGAAGGTCCGGACGGACAAGTCAATAATTTACTATTGTGGAAACAACATAAAGCTATGGAACTTATGTGAACACCACCAATCTGGAACTTGAGTTTATTGCTTTAGAAAAGTTTTTGATATTTGCATTATTGTTGTATTGATTATTTGCCTGATTTCAGTGACTGGTGATGAGCTCCCTCCAACATATCAAATTAGAGGACCAAGGGTGCATTTCAGTGGGAACGGAAGGTCATTAGCAGGCGCACTTTCTCAGCCGCACATCAAGTTGGATAGCGATATACATCAGATTGAGCAACAGGCTTATACTGGTGTTCTCAGAGCATTCAAAATGCAATCGGATGCCCTGACATGGGTAATTTCATCAATGGAAACTTATTGGTGACTATTGTAGCCTATTATATTCCTTACCGAGAAATTTTAACAAGGGTCTTGTACAGGAAAAAGAAAGTTTAATCACTGAACTAAGAAGAGAGTTGAAAGTCTCTGACGTGGAACACAGAATGCTATTAAACATGGTCAATGAAGAGGAGGCTGTCCATAGAATAAGGTACCGTGTAGGCCTGTATAACTATAAAGGTTAAAGCATTTGCATTCATCGAGATGAACAAATTGGTAACTTCAATAATGGTTCCATGATCATTAAAGTGTGCTTTGTATTCATAAACTTCTGTAGGCAGTCAAGGCAGGGAGGTGGAATGCAATCTAGCTTGCCTTGTAACAGCGTAGTTGATCACAACCATGGACCTCTCAAGAGGCAGAAGAAATCCCATTCCATGTATTCACTCCCTGTGGATCCCCACTCACCCATCATGCCTTTGCAAGCAATCGTGGGCAACAAGACATATAGAGTAGGTTTGGAGTATTCCTGATCCTGCTTTTTGTTCACCATCAACAATGTTCTTATAGTTCTTAATAGGTGACCTCCTTTCAATCGTGAAAGACATGCCAGTAGCACAAAAATTATGTTCAACTGGCACACACACACACACACACACATGCACACACAGACACGCAAGTTGAACCAAGATTAAAAATTATTTCTTTTGAAAGATAGGCAAGTCAGGAAGGTAATATGAAAGTATGTTTTGTTATTACATCCTTTTTCATTGGCAATGTTTTGTTGACGAGGAGCCAGAATTCTTTGCCTGCATTTATCATTGAGCAATGTTTTGATGTTCTATTACATTTTTTGTGAATGCTTGATCAAGCATTGTCCTAACCTAGCGTCTGATGTTTTGCTTAATGAGTTTGGGTTCAACGCCCGTTTTATATTGTTTCAAAATCTTAATCATCATCATTGAGCATGCATTTATCATTGAGCATGCATTTCTGTAGTTAGTGTAGCATGCTTTGTGTTCTACTGGCAGTTAAAAAGTGCCCCCTGACAGCTGGCACCAGAAAACACAACTGCCTATCAAACCCTTCCACATCAGGGTGGTTGGCTGGCATCTGATGGTGTTATGAAAGGTATGGAAGGGAGAAGCGGAAGGTATCATTCAAACGAGTATTATGCTTCACCTAATGACATGGGGCTTTTGAACTTCAATCATATTGACATACCTAATACTGAAACTCTTGTGAAAAAGGTACATATTTCTCAATTTAGTGAAATTGAATGGAAGATTGTTATGTCAACGTCTTATGTGTGTTATCAACAGGTGGAAAGGGTATTATCCGATCCAGATGTGTATACAATTGAAAGGGCAAAGAAACTGCTTATAGTAAGTTGGTTTTCTCTATTCCCCCTAGTAGTTCCTAAGAGAATCTGAACTGGGGAAGTTACTGTTCGTTCCTTCTTGAAAAGTTGATGTATATTACTATCATTGCAGGACCAAGAGCAGTCATTGCTTGATGCAATTGCCAAACTCAATGAAGCATCTGATCACGAAAATGGTAAGTTGCCATGGGTTGTTAGCATTCATGAATTTGCTATTTAAATGAATAGTTGCTCACTAGACAACGTAAATAGATTGTGAAGTACCAAATATTTATTACTGTCATTTATTTTCCTTCGGCATAGTGATATATTTCCATGCGATAGGAGGTTGCATGTGATGTTTTGTGTAGTTCAGCAACATATTATTTCAAATACATGCTAACAGCTTTCATAATGCCACTGAAATGCCATAGCGAGTTGGCAACTTGTGGCATGTGCAGGTTAAGGGTAGTATATAGGCAAAGGAACTCTACTGTAAATGATTAAGAATAGCTATATTTCTTACTGTAAACATTTATCACCTCTTTTTTGGTCAAAAAATGGAGACAGATGAGTACATGTGTCCCTTGTCTCTTCTTTATCTGGAAGGCTGTATTGGTTGCAGTTTGTTGTGTGCATCGACCTCCAAAATACACTATATACTTAGCATTGCTACTTTGTGCCCTGGTGTTGGCTTGTAATTCAATGTAGGTTTGCTGAGCACTGCATGTCAATGAGTGAGTCAGCCCCACGTGGGGAACTGGAGTTTGGAAATTCCACTGTTAGACATAGATTTATCCAACGTTCTGAGCATTGCATCTTATAACGTTTTGTATGGTCATCCCATCAAGCGTTGCACATTAATTCTGATATTGATAAAGTTCAGTAACAGCTCTCTATGTAACAGATGATATGATGCTCGTTGGAAGCCGGATTACCATGGGGTGACACGGGTGGCACACCTCTGACAGGGGTGATATTTTGGAGTCCACACCTCTGACAGCGGGTTAAGAGAGAATGATGCGTGAAATGCTGTGTAAATAACGCTACTTGTTAGTCCGGTAGGTCAGGTTCTTTTGGCAGTCAGGCAAATCTGTGCATGCAATGCAATGGGAATATGTATCTTGAGCACCATCACATCCGGTGATGTGATGCTGTTTCATTTCATCTTTAATCTGAGTAAGCTTATCTATGCTTGCCCCCTAGAAATATGGGTCGGTTTCACTAGTTTGTATCTATGTTAATATCTAAGGATGTCTATTAAAATGGTATGTTATTTAAACTTTATCAGAGTTGATCCCAAGCTTAGTTTAAATTTGAGTGGAACGAAATCTGCATTTGAAGTGGATATGGGTGAAGTTTTGTCTATAAGTTGTCCAGAGCGGCATATACTTGTTAGAGTTGCTATGTTGTAATTGTGTAGGCATCTGCTACAGATATGGATCAGGAACACATTGTCCACAGTTGTTGGAATTATATGGCTGCCGAAGCTCAAAACATTTTGCAGAATTGCAGGAGCGGGATTTGGATAAGCAACTTCCAGCAACCAGCACAAATACTATTGCACAGGCCGATGCTCTAGTCTCAGCTGATAGAGTCAGCACGTTATATTGCTTGATAGACCCATGCTAGTCTCAGTTGACAGCACACAGCGCAGGATAGGTTGTGTTCTAGTCACACAGCGTTTGTAGGCGTTTTGGTTTTGTTGTTTAGTGTTTCAGTTGACAGTTTTTGTAGGCGTTTTAGTTTTCGTCTTTAGATTACTGTAAGTAGGCCAAAGCATCTAATCGGGGATACCTCAGTTGGGAGAGCGTCAGACTGAAGATCTGAAGGTCGCGTGTTCCATCCATGCTCACCGCAATGTATTTATTTTATTTTTAAACCTTTTTCCTGCAGTTAACAAGCTTCCTTTGTCTTTTTTTTTTACCTTTTCTTTTAACAGCAGTTAACAAGCTTCCTTTGCCCTTTTTTTCCACCAGTAGACAAGCTTATATTAGTTTTAATTTTTTAACATTTTTCAAGTAGTTAACAAACTCCGCCTATGGTGGGGTGCCTTTGGTGTCCCAGCATAGCAGGTCAAGCTCTGGTAAAGGAGAAGGGTTGTGTTAGGCGCGGCGAGCCAATGTAAAAACTTAGCCACTTTAATGGAGATGAAACCCAAAAGAATCATGTTGGGGCGTAACCCTCTTAGCGACGCGCCATGTCGGAATCCGGGTATGGTGTTAAATGAGTAAGGGCCGGGTCGTCACCCCCGTGACGCGTCGTGTCGTGATCTGGACACGGTGTCAAGTGAGTAAGGATCGGGTCGTCGCATCCTTAGTGGCGCGCCACATCGGCGCCCGGGTGTGGTGCAAAATGAGTAAGAGTCTTCACACCTACCTTGACGGGTGCGAAGGGTAAGGAAGCTAGTCGAGTCAACTAGAATCCGTTTAGGTAGCTGAAATATAGGGTCCCTTACAGGTAAGTTAAGAGAGTTAGTGGACACAGCGGTTAGGAGGCGTGTAAATATCTTATGCGTCCAAGAGACTAAATGGAAGGAACATAAGGCGAAGGAGGTGGACAATATCGGCTTCAAGCTCTGGTACACAGGGACAACTTCAAATAAAAATGGAGGACTTTTGATTGATAAGAGCCTCAAGGATGGTGCGGTGGAGGTGAGAAGGCAAGGGGATAGGATTATCTTAGTTAAACTTGTCATTAGTGATATGGTCTTAAATGTAATTAGTGCGTATGCCCCAAGTAGGCCATGATGAGAGTGCTAAGCGGCTTTTCTGGGAAGACTTAGATCGATTGGTTAGAGATGTCCCTAGTAGCGAGAAGCTCTTTATAGGAGGTGATCTTAATGGCCATGTAGGTACATCAAGTGCATGTTTCGAGGCGGTTCATGAGGATTTCGGATATGGTAGTAGGAACCAGGAGTGAGAGGAAGTCTTAGACTTCGCCATAGCTTTTGATCTGATGATAGCTAACACTTTCTTTCGTAAGAGACAGTCCCATTTAGTGACCTTTAGTAGCGGCCAGTACTCTAGTCAAATTGACTTTGTCCTTACAAGAAGGAGGGATAAATGAGCATGCGTGGACTGTAAGGTGATACCTGAAGAATGTGTGGTCGTTCAACACAAGCTGGTGGTGGCTGACTTCCGCTTTCTAGTGCAAGCTCGTGGGAACAAACAAGCTAGGGTTGCAAGAACGAAGTGGTGGAAATTAGAAGGGGAGGCATCAAAGGTCTTTAAGGAAAAGGTCATTGAAGAGGGCCCTTGGAATAAGATGACAACATGCGTTCGGAAGGTTGCTTCAGAGGTGCTTGGACTGACCAAAGGAAGCGGATGCGACTCGAAAGACACTTGGTGGTGGAATAAAGATGTGCAAAAGGCTATTAAGGAAAAGGAGTGCTATAAGCGTTTGTATCATGACAGGTGTGCAAACAACATAGAGAAGTACAAGGTGACGAAGAAGACTGCAAAACGAGCGGTGAGTGAGGCAAATGGGCAGGCCTATGAGGACCTTTACCGACATTTGAGTACGAAGGAAGGATAGAAGGACATTTATAGGATGGCTAGGGCTCACGATAGGAAGACAAGGGACTTCAACCAAGTCAAGTGCATAAAAGATGAGAGGGAGCATCTCTTGGTGAAGGAGGATGAGATGTCTCGGGGATATAGCTATAGTATGGCTAACCAAGATGTTTAACAATATCTTTCGATCGAACAAGATGCCTAAGAAGTGAAGAAAAAACATATTGGTACCAATCTACAAGAACAAGGGAGATATCCAAAGTTATACTAATTATCGGGGAATTAAGTTGATGAGCCACACTATGAAGTTATGGGAGAGAGTCATCGAGCAGCGCCTGCGAGGAACAACACAGATATCAACAAGCCAATTTGGTTTCATGCCCAGAAGATCAACCACAGAAGCAATCTTCTTAATAAGACAGGTTATGGAGCGGTTTAGAGAGCAGAAGAAAGACCTCCACTTGGTTTTTATTGACTTGGAGAAGGCTTATGACAAGATACCAAGAAATGTTATTTGGTGGTCTTTGGACAAACATAAAGCCCCATCAAAGTACGTGACCCTCATCAAGGACATGTACAACAATATTTGTGACTAGTATTCGAACAAACGATGGTAACACAGATTACTTCCCGATTAAAATTGGACTTCACAAGGGTCAGCCTTAAACCCGTATCTCTTTGCCTTGGTAATAGATGAGGTTATCAGGAACATACAAGGGGATATCCCTTAGTGTATGTTGTTCACTGATGATGTAATGTTAGTGGACGAAAGCTAGACGGGAGTAAATAGAAAACTAGAGTTATGGCGGCAGACCCTTGAGTCTAAAGGTTTTAGATTGAGCAGAACTAAAACCGAATACATGAGATGCGACTTTGGCAGAGTTGTACAGGAGGAGAGAGATGTGAGTTTGGAAGGTCAAGTAGTGCCTAAGAAGGATACCTTTCGGTATCTGAGATCGATGCTACAGAGAGATGGAGATATTGATGCGGACGTTAGCCATAGAATCAAAGCAGGGTGGATCAAGTGGCGACAAGCTTCTGGCATTCTCTGTGACAAGAGGGTACCACAAAAGCTAAAAGGTAAGTTCTATAGAACGACGATTAGACCGGCTATGTTGTATGGAGTAGAATGTTGGCCTACAAAGATTCGACATGTTCAACAACTGAGTGTTGCAGAAATGCGTATGTTGCGATGAATTTGCGGTCACACAAGAATGGACCGAGTTTGGAACGATGATATACGTGATCGCCTAGAGGTAGCACCAATTGAAGAAAAACTTGTCCAACATCGGTTGAAGTGGTTTGGCCATGTCCAAAGGAGACCTCCAAAGGCACCAGTGCATTGTGGAGTCCTAAGTCAAGCTAATAATCTGAGGAGAGGTAGAGGAAGACCGAAATTGACATGGGGGAGGCAATAAAAAGATATTTGAAAGCTTAGGATATATTTAGAGATCTATGTTTGAATAGGAGTACTTGGAAAACAGCTATTGAAGTGCCTGAACCGTGGCTTGAGGCTCTTGGTGGGTTTCAACCTAGCGTACTCCAACTTGCTTGGGACTGAAAGGCTATGTTGTTGTTGATTTTTCAAGTAGTTAACAAGCTTCCTTTGACCTTTTTCTTTTTCCAGCAGTTAACAAGCTTCCTTTGACTTTTTTTTACCTTTTTCTTTTTCCAGCAGTTAACAAGCTTTCTTTGACTTTTTTTCACCAGTAGACAACTTCTTCTTTTTCAGCAGTAAACAAGCTTAGTTTTTATTTGTTTCCTTTTTCCAGCGGTTAACAAGTTTTCTCTGACTTTTTTCACTGTAAACAAGCTTTTTGATAAAGCTCTGCCACGTTCGAGTTGTGTTCTTTTCACAGGAATTTTAATTCCTTTGTTTTATGACCATCAAACCAGGTCAACAAACAACCTTTTTTTTAATAAGGCTCAAGCACCTTATGGAATGGGTTTT